CAATGGGGGTTACACAGCTCCATTACCCCCTGGCTGGGAGAAACGGACTGATGCTGTAACCGGGAAAACATATTTTATTGATCACAACACAAGAACAACTACTTGGAATCATCCCTGCCCAGATAAACCCTGGAAGAGATTTGATATGACATTTGAGGAGTTTAAGAGATCGACGATCTTATCACCTGTGTCTCAATTAGCAGATTTGTTTTTGGTTGCTGGTGATACCCATGCAACATTGTATACTGGTTCCAAAGCTATGCACAGCCAAATTCTTAGCATATTTAATGAAGATGCAGGCAAATTTAAACAGTTTTCTGCTGCACAGAATATGAAAATTACCCTTCAGAGAAGGTATAAGAATGCAGTTGTAGATAGTTCTCGTCAGAAGCAACTGGAGATTTTTCTTGGACTAAGGCTTTTCAAGCATTTTCCATCAATTCCAATCCAGCCATTACATGTATGTTATTGTTGTTCTACACTCTTCTTGCATGTGACTCTAGTTTCTTTCTTTTTCTTTTCTTCTTTCGATTTTCTTTAAATAGTGTTTTCTTGAAATATCCATTTTAACTTATCCGCTTTCTTCTTAGTATTTCCTTACATCCATCGAATGCATCCTATTTGACCTGATCATCATATTAGTGAGGAAGGGGCTTTTCTTTTATCTTCAATAATCGTTGGCAACTTGGATCTTTCTCTACGCATTAAGTTGTTTCTACGCTATTATGGTTTTCCTTTCCGACACTCTTTTTGATGCATAGGCATGAACCTCAACTTGTTCAAATCATGTTGGACTTCTACAATATCCACAATTGTAATTTGATGTCTGTTTTATTTGTATATTGTCGGGAATGGGAAAGGAAGAGGAGAGAAGGTGAAAAGGGAGACAATCTACTCCATCTATTGCTTTAAGAAACCTCTTTCTGGTCAGTGGGTTGGAGATGATTCCATTTGATGAAACATCTATAATTCCCTGCAGTTGTTGATGGGTGACTGGAGTTGAAAGAAAATTATTTCTAATCTCAAGGGGGTTTGAAGTAGCTGATCTGGGAAGTTGCATATCTCTTCACTTTTTTCTTCCTTTCCCATTTTCCTCTTGACAGCACAAAAGGGGAAAAAAAACCCTTTACTGTTTGTATTCTATGTTGCTTCTTCCCACATTCATCTACACACCTCAACCATTTGGTGATGATCGAGATTCTTGCTAATATATTAGCTGTTTGGTGTTTTTGGCTTGATAAAAGGCAATCCTGGACAGAGCAAGCATGGGGTAGAATCCTTTTGTTTTGGTTTCTTGTTGGTTCATAACAACTAAGATCTTTCATGGCTTGTCACTATGTATTTTATGGGCAGATTGTGCTGGCTTCTTTTGTTTTTTCCCCTTTTACTGCTCTTCATTCTTCTTTTTCTCTGATGCAAGCTCTTGATTCTTCAACTAAGTTGCTTGGACTCTTCACTTTCGGTGCCGCACCTGTGTCGACATGACGTGGGTGTGGGTGTGGGGTCTGTACCGAATCTGGTCAACCGATTTTCGGTACGTTGACTAAAATCGACGGAGAAATTCGGGACTTATACAATGATTTTTGAAATTAAAACTAAAGTTAGGGTGAAATTGAAGAAAATGGAATGCCTTGTATATAGAAATTTCTATGTCAGTGATTTTCCTTTCATCTCCTTCTCGGATTCTCTTTTTGATCAATATCTTTTCCTTATCAGAATACCTTGTAAGTTTTCTACATAATGTCTCATAATTTAGATATACTTTTATACCTCTATTTTTAGATATTTGAATTACTTTTGGTCGAATCCCCGCACCCGAATCTGTCCTGGATCCGTAACCTCGAATTTTGAAATTTAGATCTTGAAGGACCCGGCCTCTACATCCGCACCTGTAGCGGACACCCGCACCTGGGTCCGAGCAACTTAATTCTTCATTATGGAATGCCTTTTGTCCAAATATCATATGTCTGGCTTTGTCTTATAAATTAAACTATTTTTATACATTTAAAAAGATTGAATATAGATGTGGTAAGAAAGGCATAGAAACAGGCAAAGGAAGGGACAACTCCCAAAATTATTGAACGATAGGTTGCATCAATTGACTCTGAAGGGCTTCAAGGTCTTAAGACACTATTTTGCATATTCTAACTTGCGGGGCGTATATTTGTGGATTCGTTAATGATGATTCTAAAAAGACAAAAAAGACACCACATTTGGAAACTATTAGAACTTCCAAATTTAAATAAATTACTCCATATAGTGTTACATAATAATAATAATGTACTGGACTATCTAGACTTTTTGATTTCAGTACTGGCTGGGTTCTAAAATATCCTGAAATTGTTTCTGAAGCTTTTCTTTGTGAAGATGAAAACTGAATGATAAAAGCGCCATAAGTCTAAAAAGCCCCATATCATTCAGCATTTGCTATATCTGTCCTAATACTGTGAACTATATTCTATTCTTTTTCTTTTCAACCTAAATGAGTTGTGCCTTTTTATTTATTTTTATCAGTTAGAGGAATTTTCTTCCAATTTTCTGTAGTTGAGGACCTTGAGGTTATATATTTGGAGTGATGCTAACTCTTTTTTTGAAAGTTATTTGAAAATGATTTTGTCACTGTTGTTACCACCATATGACAGTTTATGCTGATTTTGACAGGTTGCATCTCGTCCCACTGGATGCTTTCTAAAGCCAATCGTGAACATGTTCCCGATTTCTGATGGTGGAGCAAGTCTTCTTAGTTTTAAAAGAAAAGCAATGACATGGGTACCTACATTATGTTTTCGGGATTTTGAAACTACTTGTTATTTGATAATAGCATCTTCCACATTATACTTAAGTGGTTTATATCTACATCACACCCCTTGGGTGCGACCCTTCCCCGGACCCTCCATAAACGCGGGATGCCTTGTCTACTAGGCTGCCCTTTTCATCTTACACATTATAAAAGTCCCGTGCCATTTCGTCTACAAGAGGTTCATATATATCCCACAGCATTTTGCTCCTTGCCTCACTTGTGTACACATCTTACAGGTCTCCCCACAGGCTACCGATGTGGTTGAGCTCTTTATTTACCTTGGCGAGCCTTGTCATGTTTGTCAGCTACTTCTCACTGTTGCACATGGTTCTGATGATTCAACGTTCCCATCGACAGTTGATGTCAGGATAGGGCGTTATCTAGATGGACTTAAACTTGTTCTGGAGGTATGTTACATCTCTATTGTGAAATTGTTGTGCCTGTACCTGGCTGTTACTTGCTTCTGCTATTTATAAAATTCAAATCTGTTAGATGCTTATGCCTTTTGTGCATAGGCATTTTCTCTCCCAACTGGGATAAGAGTTTTACGCCTTGCCTTTTAGATTTTGATAATGGCTAAAGGTGTGTCTGTACTCTGTGGGATAGGGATTTATATTATCCACCTGTTACTGGGAAAAGGAAAATAACATGCATATGTGGCTCTTTTTTCCTGGCGGAGGATGCATTTATTTTATGTTTGTGATAATCCCGTTGACATGAACATGTGCACAAATGTTGTATTTTTGACAGCTATTATTGTTCTTTGTTCTCCTACCACATATCCTCCTACCGCATATCTGAAAAGGGAAATCTTTCATAGAAAGTAAAATAGTTAAAGAAGTTTTCATGTGCCTATATGTCCAGGGTTACCATCAAAAGTTTTCAATTTTTACATGCAATTTATTCACAGGGAGCTTCTGTACCACAGTGTGCAAATGGGACAAATATTTTGATACCATTGTCAGGACCAATTAGCGAAGAGGACATGGCTATCACTGGTGCAGGTGCACGCCGTCATGCCCAAGATACTTCCACCCTTCCATTATTGTATGATTTTGAGGAACTTGAAGGAGAAGTGGATTTTCTTACTCGTGTTGTTGCACTCACGTTTTATCCTGCTGCGGATGGTGGAGGCCCTATAACTCTTGGTGAGGTACAGAGAAACTAGATAATTGAACTTTTTAGGTGTCCTTTCTTTTAAAACAATTTTCTTTTACACCCTCTAACATAGTTGGCCCTTTGTGAAAATTTTTGGGGACTAGATTTCTCTGCATATGTCAAAGTAGACATGGTCCGAGTCTGATGACTAACCTAAGTTTGAATAATGGTCATAGAGTGGAGTAGATAAGTGGAACAAAGTTGTATGCACAAAACAATAAAAGAACAGGAACCACTTGATAGAAGGTACATACGCTGCATACAAGATGTAAGAAAATCTATACCTACGAATTTCTGGACTACATTCTTTGATGCTTTTTACTTTTGTCTTTATTCTCTATAATTTAGTCAAGGGGGTGTTGATGACACTTCTGAGGGTGTAAATGTTTGTTTTCCAGAGAATTTTGCATCTTGGTACTGCACTCCCAAGGAGAATTTACATAATACTAGTGAGCAATATTGCATGAAAAGTTAGCTTTTCTTGCACGTTCTTCTCAACAGTTGAGTTTGTTGATAAAACTGCTAAGAGGCCTTATGTAATCTTGTTAGTTTGATTGATTTTTGTTTGAAAAGCATCTCTAAGATCTGAGGATCTGCTTTTGAACGTAATCATTTTCCATTAGGAAGTCTAAGGTCTCTGTCACCTTGAAGGGTAATCAACTAGTAAGTTGATTTGATCTTATGGAGGTTTTCTAGACTTACCAATGGCTGTATAAAGTGAAATTTTTTTTCACTGCTTTGAACCACTATTAGCTATTCTTAGAATTATTTAAGTACCGTTTATTTGATAGGCTAGAATTACTTAAATATGTTATAACTGCTATTAAATAAAGGATAACAGATATATGCTGTCCTTTTGTTTTCATTTAATGCGTGTGTGTGTTTCTGTGTGTGTATTTTCCTTGTGGTCTGAATATTAATTTAACGGTTCATCCACTGTAAAGTTTATTTCTATACATGTTTTTTACATGTTGAAACAGATCTTGTACATTGTGCTGTTTTACTTATTCATTGATGTGTTCTTTTTCAATGAGAAATGTTTAAAAGGAATGTATGGCCTGATAAAGAAAATGTTTAAAAGGAATGGATGGCCTGATAAAAAAAATGTTTAAAAGGGAACCATAGAAGGAAATGGAGACATACCTAAATTCCTTAATTTGGAAAGATAGGCAAGTAACATTTCACCATCCCTTTATTTGAATATGAAAATATGTGTATCTTCTTTTGGCAATCGTCCTGTACAAACTTTTGTTACTAAATTGGCAGCATAAAAAAGGAACCTTTGTTACCCGATTGGAATAACATTCGATGTTCATCTGATCCTAAAAAAGGAATTTCGAAAAGCATTATGGGAAGAACATTATCCAGTTTACACAAAACCATCATTATTTGTATATCATGCAATTAAATCATCTGAATAAAATGCCTTTACTCAAGTATGGACCCATGCTGCTGCATGACACTATCTTCACATCAATCTATTCAGTACATTTTTTCTCTGTTGTAAAACATATGCAGATTGAGATACTTGGAGTGCCTCTTCCTTGGAGGTTCATATTGAAACATGAAGGCTCTGTAACTAGATTTGCTGATCAAGCAGAAACCCATCATGATATTACTAACCCTTTTCTGACTGAGACCGAACACAATCCTTTTGCTTCTGCTTTAGCCACTGATGCACAAGCAAACTCGTCTGCTGACTTATGGGTAGACCTTTTAACGGGAGAAAGCAGAATTTCAGATTCTAACAGGCAGCCGGCGACAGAAACTGTCTTCCACGGCGGAGATGACTTGCTTGATTTCTTGGATGATGCTATTGTGCAACAACCAAAAGAAGCTAATAGTTTTTCCAAGAGCACATCTAAAGGGCCTACTGACAATAACACTCAACACTATTTAGATTGTTTCAAACTCCTTGTTGGACCCCAAATGGTACGCATCTTTTTAGATTTGTATTATTTTTAGAATTGCTACTTTTATACTTCTGATCAACTACTGAGTTGTATGGTTCTACACTGGTAATAGCTAAGGATGCAAGAAGTTTAGATGCTAAGATGGCTTAACTACTGCAGGAATTGACTATAAATGCAAAGACTGTGATCTTAGCCAATCTGAATTAACATAAATGCCTTGTCAAAGTCATAAATGCTTCTTCTTGAATTGTGTTTTTTCCAGTATGGCATCTTTTGCCTAAATAAAAAAGAATGTGAAGTACAAACTAATGTTCTCTGGCCATTAAATCTGTCAAAGTTTTATGAAATATGAATTTTTTTATACATGTTATCAGAAGGGTGTAACAAGGGTTTCTCTCCATAATAGTAAGTGGTGTTTTTTGAAACTGGAACTTCTAATGTGGAGTTTAGTGTGTACTTGATTATGTAAAAAATGTAGAGTTTAGAAGTATCTTTGATGAGTTGACCAAGTTGTCGTGTGGATAAGGGAAACAGAGGGACTTCACATTTAGTTAAAATTATGATTTATTTATTTTTAGCACTTTCGACTATCTTATCTTTTGTCTTACGTTTCACCTGGAAGGATGAATTACTTCTGGCAAGATGTTTGATTGCCTCATTCTCCACTAAAGGATTAGCATTCAAAACTGTATGGGAGATTAGGTTAGAAGACATTTGGGAAATGGAGAGCGTGTGTTCTGCTTCAACAGTTGGAAAACTTCGTAGAGGTACAGTCATGTATTCAATTGTTCGGAGGGATAATGGGAATGATCAGTTTTGGCTATAAGTTGCTCTCCAGAGGAAAGACACTTCAAGCTGCCGGGATGGAGGAGAACCTAGACAAACAACTCTTGAAGACTTGAACATGACTTGTGGTTAAGGAACCTTACTTAACTATGTTTAACCTACATAGAAGGGGCACATACATGTGTAGTGGATGTGCTATTGAAGAAGTGTATGGATATGCTAACCATTTCTTCGTCCACTGCATAATAGGCAGCCAGATATGGAGCATGATATTGAACATATGAGGTGAAATGGTCCATTACAAAGCAAAGGATTGAAGGAGTTATGCAAGTGTATATCTCAGAAAATTTGGTGGCTAAGTTGCGGTGAAAGGAATTAGAGACACATCTAAGAAAATAAGGAAAATGTATGTGTACTCTGTTGCTGGTTTTGCAGCGCAACATGCTAATTCTAAGTGGTCTTGATATTATGACAGATTTCCGTAGTTCCTTGCAGAAATAGAATAGGAACTGAGTTTTTTCCCCTGTAATATACATAATGGTAGCACCCATCTAGTGCTGGAGATTTCTCAATTTAATTATACTTGAGAGAGCATTCAAAGATGAAGTTCATTATCTTATCTCTCTTAGCTTTTTGGTGCAACATGCAAAATGTATTTGATGTAGATAGCCTTCTAGATTTCCACAGTTACCTCTCCAATTAGACTAGGTAGAAACTGGGTTTTTTGTAAGGTTCCTGGATATGGAAATTGCATCCTGATGTAACTCATAGTACAATCTTTGTGCTACTTTTTTCCCCCAATAAAATGCTCACTTATCTAAAACAAAAGATTGGCAGAATACCCAACTAAACCCCTGAACTTAACACGGTATACAGTGCACACCTAAATTTTTCGTAGTCCTAATTATCCCCTGGGCTTGGCTATTTGATAACCTTTATTCCGCTTGATGCTGACGAGGCAAAGAGCGTGGATACACTCTCTTTTAGGCATGTGGGAGTAAAGAAAAAATAAAAAAATCAGCTTCTAGGTGGATATTTTTCCAACCGTTAATTGTCACATAATCAGTTAGAATGGTTTATTTGTTCCAACTATGTATTTTTTCTTGTTTTTTCTGTAATTGAAACATCCGAGTGGACCAAACTGGTAATGGGGAAGCATGCAAGGTGTTTGGAATCAATGTAAAGGGTTTTGAACATGATATCTTTGATATGATTATGAGAATGGAACAAAGCAGACAACAACAATTGGTAATCAATAAAGCAAGGGGTGGGGGTAAGAAAACAAAGAAGATGAAGGGAGAAACTGAAGTCAAGAGGTTGATTTGCATGGTGAATTATGATGGGGGTGAGAAGAAGAACAGGGGTAGGAAATCTAATCCTTTTCTGGATGAAAGTTGAGATTTTGAGCTGGAACATAAGGGGGTTGAATAACAATTGGAAGGGGGACACTCTTAAATCATTAATAAGTGAGTGAAAACCAGATGTTCTCATCTTCAAGAAACTAAATTGGAAGAGTGGAACAGATTTTTAGCCAGGCAGATTTGGGGCAACAGATGGGTCAATCGGCTGGAGCTCTAAGCTAGTGGTACTAAGGGCGGGATCATCATCATGTGGGATAGAAGTCAGTGGAATTGCACTCAAATACAACAGAGGATTCACTCTATTTCTTTTATGTTGGAAAGTCTAAATGAGGTATTCAGTTGGTGCTTTACAGGGGTCTATGGGCCACACACTAACATTGAAAGGGAAGAGTTATGGAATGAACTTGGAGCTGTAAGAGGGATTTGGCCAGATCAGCGGGTGATAGCGGGTGACTTCAATGTATGCAGATTCGAAAATGAGAGACTCAATTGTGTGAGAAGGTCCAGGGCCATGCAGAATTTTTCAAATGTAATCTAGGACCTCTGCTTGGTGAATCTTCCTTTACCGGGGGCTTTTTACACATGGACTAGAGGGGACGACGCTATTCAAGCATCTAGAATAGATAGAGTTTTAATCTCAAATGAATGTAATGATTTCTTCAGCAAAATCAATCATATTGCTCTCCCTGATTTTTCATTTCTGATCGCATTCCAATCATGCTAGAATGTGGTGACGGAACACTAATCCTTCTTACTTCAGATTTGAGAACATGTGGCTGGGGATGGAGGGCTTCATGGATAAAGTCAAGGCATGGTGGCAGAGTTATGAAGTTAGCGGCAGTCCTGATTTCATTCTTACACAGAAACTCAAGCTACTCAAAAAAGATCTTACCATCTGGAATAGGGAGGAGCTGGGATTGAAAGGGCTCAAGAAAAGGAAAGCACTAGAAGACCTTCTCATATTACAACAGAATGTTGAAGGAAGAATACAAGCTCAGAAGATCATAAGCCTAAAAATGGAAGTGGAACAAATGGCCAAAGCTGAAGAAGTGTATCATCCCGGAAAATTTCGAAGTACTTAAGTGTAAAGCCCGGTAAATTTTTTTGCAAAGAAAATAATGTTTCATGGTGTCAGACTAGGTTTACGTGTTTAAGGATTGTAGAAATTCTTCGCGGCGAGCTTGCTCGCCGCGACTCGGACTTTTTGGATGGAACAATGCACGGGAAAGTAAAGAAAAATTTTTGGCGGAAAAGTGCGTTTATCCGCATAATCACTCTGCGGGACGCATAATGGCCGCAGAAGTGAGCAGGAGAGGGCCATTCTGGAAGCAGCTATGCGGTCGACTATGCGACCGCATACACAGACAAATTTTTGATCATTTTTGTCAGCAATTATGCGACCGATATGCGGGCAATCGCAGAACCGTTCCGCAGCTTCATTTTTGGGTTTTTAAAACCCGACCCTATTTCGTTAAATACACTCTTTGGGCCATTTTTGAGCAATAATCTGACACTTTAGAGTGAGAGAGAGTGCCCTAGAGTGAGAAGGTGTTCTTCAATAATTGTTCTTCAATTCTTGCTAAAGTTTTGGAAGATTAAGGAGGGAAACTCACTAGGTCTTCATCCTAGAGATTGAAGTTGCTAAGAATTCCGGAACATTTAGAGTGTAAGGAAGCTCAAATGAGGTATGTTGGCTAAACTCTCTCTTGAAATTGAATTTCATAATGTTCTCGTGAGTTTCAAAGTATGGGTTGCGTATTAAAATGTTGTGGCTTTGAATCGTATTTCAAATGAAAGCTAGAATGCCAAATTGTGTGAGAAAATCTCAATATTCTTAAGACTCTTAATTGCTCATATGTGTACCTAAAGTCTTGATTGGGAATGTCTTATTGTTGATAACCTATAAAGATGGTTGGAAGTGAAATCAGTGAATTGGGGATATAAAATGTGGCCAGCGTGCCAATAGTGAAAGTTATACTTGTGACCAACGGTGCCAATGAAATGAAATAATGTGAGAAAAATTATGAAATGAGCTTTGACTCAACTATTCCAAAATTGACTTCGACAATATAATCGGCTAAAAGTTATGAACTCAAGTGATGCCCATATGTGGCTGTTTTAGCTAATGCTATGCTTTGTAAGTAATTTTCAATGTGTTTTGCGTTCTTACATATTCGTGAGTGGAAATTGTGTATGATTTTAACTTGTGCTTCGATTTCCAATCATTTTACTCCATTTATTGGAAAGAAATCGATTGTGTTTAAAGCCTTCATTACTAATGAATTTAAAGTTGTGATTTCCGGAATATTCTACTTGTTGATAATTATGATGATGATCTATGAAAGGGAAGAAATGAAAGTGTGGAATATGAAATACGGCCATTGCGCCATGAATAAAGAATCATATGTATGGCCAAGAGAGCCAATGGAATAATAAAATTGTAAGTGGTTGAAAGTACGAATTAGGTGATATGTGGTGTGAAAGGTTATGAGATGTACATATTTGTACTTTTGTTTCCAATGT